TGCAGGTGAATGAAATTTCCTGTTTATTATGAAAAATGCTCACACTTTTGGTGAGGGAGACACGGTGGCTGGCCAAGTACATCCACAGGTCATGAAAAGGGTCACTCAGGCTCGTGTGAGGTCATCGCAGGTGTATGACCGTGCGCGACCACGTGGCTGCAGCCACCGCCGGGCCTGCCCGGCACCCACTTGTCCAGCAAACCCTCACTCAGCCTGAGAGATGCTGTCGCAAAAGGCACCAAGGGCTACACCCAGAGCAGCAGCACCAAAGCATCACTCAAGTCCATGCACCCAGCAAGGTGGCCAGGGCCACCACTTGGCCTAGAGCTAGGCCCTAGACAACAAGCACAGGGACAGGGACGAGCGTGCCCACGCCCCCACCCTCGCCCAAGGCAGTGAGCCTTCGGGCTTTGGGACACATTAGAGATCAGTCTCAGTGACAGGATAAGTGACGAGATCAGTGACAAGATGGCTGTCAGCCATCAGACAGCCCAATGCACAGCATTTCCTCAAGGAAAGTGGGAGTTCAAGGCATGCTTGGTGCCAGAGACAAGTACACCCCCACCCAAGGAGACAGGGACACTTCGTCTGCCTCAGGTGGGGCTAGGACTGAGCGTGCGGACACCAGTGTCCCTATGAAGGACAGACAACGTGGTCCAAGGTGGTGAGCTGGAAAGGAAAGGCTGACCCCGCAGCGTGAGGAAAAGCCAGTGCCGTCTCTGATAGGGGACAAGCTCCAGTGCAGAAAGTTCTGGAACTCTGGAGACATTATAGAACAAGCCAGGCACAAAAGGACCAATACTGTATGTCTCTATTCTTAAGAAGTACCTGTAGTTGGGGCGCCTGGGTGGCCCAGTCGGTTAAGCGTCCGACTTCAGCCAGGTCACGATCTCGCGGTCCGTGAGTTTGAGCCCCGCATCAGGCTCTGGGCCGATGGCTCGGAGCCTGGAGCCTGTTTCCGATTTTGTGTCTCCCTCTCTCTCTGCCCCTCCCCCGTTCATGCTCTGTCTCTCTCTGTCCCAAAAAAATAAATAAACGTTGAAAAAAAAAAAAAAGTACCTGTAGTCAAATCCATAGGGACAGTAGGTAGAACAGGGGGGAGGGGCGACGGAGAATTAGTGGTTAATGGGGATACAGCTTCTGTCTGGAAGATGAAAAGGTTGTGAAAGGTGGTGAAGGTCACACAACAACACGGATCTGCTTGGGGCCGCTGAACTGTGCACCGAAGCGGTTAGTGTCGGTGAAGCTTAGCACACGTGTGCACACAGTCGCGGGGGTGGAGGCAGGGGGGAGGCAGAAGAGTCGTGTGTTCGCTTAGGGTGACCAGGCTGAGGGTTGGGCTGGGTCTCGGGGAAGCAACGGTGCAGGCCAGCGGACAGGAGACCCAAACGTGCCTCCCGTCCCAGCTCTGTTCCCACCAGGCCTCCTCACCAGGTCTGACCTCCCGAGGAGAGTCCCGCTCCCCGCCATGGGCACCGAGGCGGAGGAGGGAAAACTGTGACAGGTCCTCGCCCTCTCCTGGCACCCTCCAAACACAGGTAGTTCCAGCAGCTGGGGGAAAAGCTACTTCATACATTCCAAGTTTCTAGAACATCAACAATAGAGGG